AATGACATATAAATTAGAGAAGTGTCAAAAATATAATAGTTGAGACTGTTATAAAAATTCAGTTCATTCAAAAATATTTTGTCCTCCATATGTTGCCTGGGAGATATTGCTGCTTAGTAATAAGGCCGCCTTTTGTATACTTTTTTGTGATTATCTTAATTTGTTTTATTGTGTGCAATAAAGTAATAGGGGTTAAAGTATGAAATTACCGATTTGTAGTGAAAATCGAATCGAATTATTGATTTATTAATTTTTAACAAATTTATTAATTCTAAATAGTTACCGTTATTATCTATACATTGCTGCCATCTAATAGGAAGATCATTTATGGCATTGCGATAGAACTCTGAGGATCTAGACTGCACAAACTATGTGAAAGCATTTTGTACTGCCTCCTGGGAAGAAAACTTTTTGTCACGTAGATAATTGTCTAAATCACGAAAAAAATGGTAGTCCGTTGGAGCAAGGTTGACGAATACGAAGGATGACGAATGCTTTCTAACTGCAGTTCCTGAAGGGTCAAAACGATTTCTCGTGCTGTATGAGGTCTCGCGTTGTCATGGAACAATAATGGTGAAGTTCGATTCATGAGTCTGGGTTGCTTTACTGTTAGTTTTTCCAACATTATTCGGAGTTTGGTACAATAGACATCTGCCGTTTTTGCTTGACCAGATCGGAGAAAACTATAGTGAATAACATCATGCTGAAACCACCAAACAGTTACCATTACCTTTTATTGGTAAGTATTGCTTTAGGACACTGATGTGGCGTTTGACCTGGGGTCAGCCATTGCATTTTTCTTTTACGGTTACCATTAAGCATTCACTTTTCATCACATGTCACAATTCAATCCAATATTCCTTCATTTCCGTATCGATTCAACAAGGCAACACAAGTTTCAACACGCGTTTCTTTCTGCAGATCAGTTAATTCATGAGGCGCCCATTTTTCGTATTTTTTGAGTGAGTCAATATTGTGGGTAAGGTAACGTTAAACCATGCCGCCAATTCCTGGGTAGTTTGAGTAGATTGGCTTCCACCACCATTCTTAATTCATCGTTATTCACCTGTGTGGGCGGTCTTCCTCGTGCCTCGTTCTTTAAGTCGACGTTTCCATCACAAAAGCGTTTATATCAAAATCGCTCGGTGCGTTGATTAGCAGTCCACTCTCCAAATGCAAAATTTACATTGCGGGCTGTTTCTGTCGCGTTACTTCCGCGTTGGAACTCGTATCCAAAAATCACTTGAATTTTCGCAGTAACCATCTTTCTTGTCTAAGTTGAATAACAAAAACAATTGAAAGTCGATATTCAAATGTTTCACATTTTTTAAAAGAAGAAAAACAAAAAACAGTTTCTTTCGAAAACCTCAAACCATGAAGATTCTATATCAATTCAAAGAACCTATTACAATAAAACGGCAATTTCATACTTTAATCCGTAATATATTACTATTGTTATAGATAAAGCGTATAATTCATGGTTGATGACTGCAATCTTTAATAATATAGAATTAATTAAATAGCACTAGTTTACAAGGAAGACGAGCATACCAGTCAGCTTTTACTTACTTCAATACATTAATAATAGTTTATGATGTTACTCGTCTGTGTAGTAATCGCTTTATGCGCAAACTTGTTAAGCTCCACGTACTTACAACATAGTATGCATATTCTAAGTTCTATTGTATTTAACAAGAATTTCATAGTATTTTGTATATATAACATCATAGGTACTACAGGTTTTTCTATGTCATGTTTATGATGATGTTGTTTTACAAATGTGCTCTTCTTTCTATAAATTGGTAGAAAAAAATAGTCTAAGCTTTGAGCCTAGTTAAAGGTCATATCGTCAAAGAACAATAATATTTGTGAACGTTCATTTAATATTATGTATGTGTAATCCCAAACTTATAAAAATAAAACCAAATATAATATCAAAGACTCAAGTCGCAGGACTATCAACTTAATACTGATTACTCAGCAATTCGGTTTTCCAAATATTTTATGAAGAGGTGACTTAACTTTATTCTCTCCAGCGGTTAAGAAAAGCCATAAATCATAACGTATGATAAATTATAGAACTATCTGCCATAAGAAGTGAACGCACAATGCTTTGGCATTTGACCAAATTCTCGAAATCGTTTGCTGAAATTATAAATAAAATCCGCAATAAAAATGAGTCGATTGAAAATAACAGTAAAGTAATGGTTTGTATAAGTCCAGAGACTATTCTTGGGAAAACAAAGTATGCATGAAAAATTGATAAGACTAAAATCTTATATTGTTTTAAATAATTAGGTTTCCGGCGACTGGGATGCCATAAACTAGAACTGCGGTCCCAGTTGCCGCATCAGTCACATATACTACTGCAATAATTATGGAGAAGGGATTAATAACCTTTTTGCTAGATTTACCTTAGAATTTTGATTATCAGTAAATCAATCAGTGATAATATAAAAAAAAATTAAGTTACAAAATTTATTAGAGTATTAATTCAAATTCAATATTTAATTTTAAAATTTTTTGCTTTCTTATTTAAGAAAAATTTCGTCTATATGTTCCGAAATATTGCGGTTTCACTGTCTCATTCCCTGGCTTTATATATCCTTAGACATTGTAATTTGGTTGGCATTATTACAGTTATAACATGTTCAGCTATTTAAATATCAAACAACATCAATAATGTAACCATATTTCAAGCAATAACCAATAAATATCTTATCCCTAACACATAAGCGATTCGTCGTCAAAAGAGTTTGAGAATCGTTGTTATAGATACTTTTATGTAAACGTCAAACCGCTACGTAGAATAAATATCACATGCATATTTATCCCAAATTAAGTTTCAATTTAAAACAATGAAGGTCAATATTGAAAATTTCATTTCTACATCAATCCAACTGGGATCCGAATCCAGGATGAGATCTCAGATATGTGAAAACCTTGAAACTATCTTTCATTTTTTGGATAATTTATTAACTTAAATACAATGTTATTGCCTATTTCTTAATATGATGAACCCATCTCTCCGACGGTTCGCATACTGGAGAAGATAATAGATCAATTTCCTCGTGAGAATTGGTGCCGCGTCTGGTTCTACGACACGACATGATGACAAATCATGTAGCCTTTATTAGACTACGGAATATATGACCCAATTCAAGCATGGTTTGAGTTAAAATCGATACTAATGATCTTACTTAGACTACGCAATTAATTATATTCCGAAATTAAATTTGATCTGCCCATAATACCATAGTTTGTACTCCGAAACTGTAGGACCGATTTTAAACACGCTACATATAATGTAGCTCGGGTGATATTTATATTATTTTATATTATAAACAAAAAAGATTTGATTGTTTTGTTTCTTTGCTTTGGATAGACTCCAAAAATACTAAGTTACTTTTAAACATTCTTTCATTTACTGGAAGCTCTAGCTGTCCGCAGATGACATAGACTATAATTGATGCAGTCTAACGGCCGGTTTCTGAATTGAAAAAAGTATAAAATCTTAACTGATTATTCTCAATAACTTATTTTTTTTACGTTTCATATAGCAAAAACTCCAAGTTTTATCAAACTGCTTTCAATCAGTCATAAAAAAAAATCAGAAACGAAAACCCGTTTAAGTAACGTTTTAGATGATTTAAGAACGGTTTGAGACTTGCCTAATTTTTAATTCTTCATTCAGAAACCGGTTGTATGTAGCTGTGAAACAGCTAGCCATTTACAACTTTATTCCATGTATCAATTTTTTTTTATCATCGATACGTGTGTAGATAATATTTCTTTCATTCCACAGAGCCTATCAAACCGGAATGGCGTGTATGGACTCGTGGATCAAAAGATGCTTGCCCACTGATGGTCAGAAATTAGTCCAACAACAAATAGGCGGCGCACGTGCACTAATGCGCTTCCTTTGCACCAACGAAACTGCACTAAGAAGAGGTATAGTATATATTATAGTACCATTAACATATAAATGGTGATAATACAGGAGGAGCTCAATAATGCAGTTTTTGTCGCGCTCGGTTTACGATACGGTTGTTAAGCAAATTTTGCAAGGACCGGTAATAGGATGACCAAAAAATATTATCCCGAGCTCTTCCGTGCTTCGGAAGGTACGTTAAGCCCCGGTCCCGGCTGCATATGCAGTCGTTAACGACCACTGATCAGAACTGGGCCTACTTGGTGGGTCATGGCCCATTCTCCCTATTCGACTTGGATCCATTCCTTCCATAGGGAATGCCTGATTAGCAACAGTGGGGTTATTAATAGGTTGGAGATGATACTGAGAGTCATAATACAGTAATGATTATACCTCTCCTTGTCCAAGACGGGTTTTTACGTGTAGTAACGCTGATTGTGTTAGCGACGACCACATATGTTCAAAGCTATAAATATAAAAAAAAAAATAACATTTTGCTCTGTGACAACTTCATCTGTAATGTCATTACGTTTTTTGTGTGTAGCGGTGTCACATGTATTTTGAGATTTTATCATTACAAGTGAAATTTAAAACATTTAAATAGCGATAGTGATCTGCAATAAATTGTAACAACTAAAACAATCAATAAAATGAAGATAAAAATTAAAGTCAGTGTAACAAGATCAAATTTTTGGTTATACAAAACATCGAAATCAGGTAAAGTTTTGACTGTGTTTTGTCAGGTGTTTGAAAGGAATTGCTACTTTTCAAGGAATAAGGTAAGATAATTAAGTTACTAAAATTATAAAGCAAAGTTAATCAAATAGTGTTAAGGTAAATTTTATAACTATATTACTTTGAAACAACTGTTTCCTTCCGGTATCACGTCACTAAAAACTACAAACAAATATTCAATATAAAATACGGTTTCCGGTAGAAATTCGTTTTTCAAAGTTTTCGTCGGGATTATTACTTTTTTAATGTTTCCGGATAACCTTTTTTCTTCTTCTTAACATCCGTCCGCCATTTGGTCTTTCCTTTTCGAGAACCTTTCGAGTGTAGACTTAAAATGGGAAAAAGGAAAAGTGATGAAGAAAAGTTAAGAAAAATTAAAGCCAAAATCAGAAAATTAGAAAAAAAGTTACAAAAAGAAGCTACAAATAGCAGTTCATCAGAAGAGGTGGAGAATGAAGAACCACAGCAGCAGACCTCCACAATAATCAGTGAGGAGTTGGAACTTGTTGAACCTACTATAGAAAGAAATACCACAGGTTGGTTACCACACAACATTCTTGTCATATTCACCAATGTTTTATATTTTTTATTAGTTTATACATTTTAAATTAATTAAAATGACCTGTGTCCAAAAATGATTTTGTGGTTGCTAAAATCAAATTATCAAGTGCTATCACACTGCGGGTAGACAAGATAAATAAATTTACCAAATACTACTTGGGGTAAAATTCATATTACAGAATCTAAATATTAATTCAAAAAGTGATATCATACAACTTTTCATTAACTTTCTATTATTTAGTGCTATCATACTGCAGATTGCCAATTTTTTATAAACTTTACATCACTACGTGCTATCACACTGCGGATAGACACTATTTCATTGATTAAACACAAGCGCTATCACTCTGCGGATAGACACTATTCCCTTGATTAATTAAGCACTATCACATTGCAGATAGGCATTTATTTCTTAGAGAAACCCTAAAACCTTGTAAAATTTCCAGAAGAGGAACTGCCAGAAGAGTTCCTTCTAGCTCTGGGAAGTGAGGGCATACAACAAACGGAAACAGGAGATCCTATCAGAACAGAACTGGCACATCGCTGGGGAAATCTCATGCGAATAGGTCTTGGGAAGGAAGCGAAAGATGCTCTTTCAAAGAAATATCCAACACCTTCAAACTTTCCAGAAGCAACAGCACCGGCAATGAATCCAGAATTGCTGGCCACTATGTCGGAAGCAAGTGTTAATAGGGACAAACGTATAGTTTACAGACAGAATATGACAGGAAGGCTAATGTCCTCTTTAGGAAAATCACTTTCAGATCTTTTGAAAGGCAATATAAATAGTAAACAACTAATAGAAGAAATCAATGATGCAGCCAAGCTTGCAGCAGAAATTTTTTACCAAGATTCTGCCTCAAGGAAATTCTTTGCTCTGTCGGGCACAACCAAAACAGTAAGGGACACTGTTCGAAATTTAAAATCTGACGAGTATTTATTTGGTAAAGATTGTGCGGAAAAAATTAAGGCTTCACAATCAATTCAAAAAACCAGCACACAAATAAAACATCCCAGCCAACCAAAGACTACTATAAATAAGAAACAGGGAAACTGGAGAAGCCCACTGCAACCACAACTTCAACGGCAGAAACCTCGCAGTGGGCCCCAGAGACAGTCGTACAGGCATCTACCTCCAGTGAACCAGCAACTACGACAGAACCCAAGACAGCAACTTCCACATCATGCACAAGCAACCCGAGGCAGAACCAAGTATCGCCGTTGAAAGATCAGGTACTTGCTTGTAGAATTAGACTATTTTATAATAACTGGCTAGCTATCACTAATGATCCAATTATTTTAAATTGGGTACACGGTTATGAAATTCCATTTACTGATGATATTCCTTGTTTTGACTGCCATCCTCAAGTCTGGTCCAAGGACCAATTGAGAATCATAGATTTTGAAGTTAAGAACCTAATAAAATTAGGAGCCATTGAAGAATGTTCCTATAGACCAGATCAATGTACTTCTCCAATCTTTCTAATTTCAAAACAAAATGGAACCTATAGATTCATATTAAACCTGAAAAAGCTAAATAGTTTTGTCAAAATTGAACATTTTAAATTAGAAGACATCAGAACAGCTTGTAAATTAATGTCACGCCATTGCTATATGTCAACCCTAGACTTAAAAGAATCATACCTTTCTGTACCCATTGCAAAGGAATATAAGAAGTTTTTAAGATTTACATTTAATGGTAAATTATATCAATTTAATGCACTGCCATATGGATTAAGCACAGCACCTTTTGTGTTCACAAAACTCCTTAAACCAATCATAACTTACTTAAGAAATAAAGATATTGTTTTATCATATTATTTGGATGACATTATATTTTTCAATAATTCTGTAACAGGATGTAAAGAGAATATACAACAGGCATATAATTTATTACAAGATTTAGGATTTCAAATAAATTGGGAAAAAAGTGTCCTTAAACCAAATAAAACCTGCAAATATCTAGGGTTTATATTAAATTCATCAAATCTTTCAATATCAGTCCCACATGACAAGCAAATATCTATAACCGAAAAAATTTATAATTTTAAGGATAAAAGACACTGTAAAATCAGAGATTTTTCTAGACTGATAGGTTACCTAAATTCTATTTGTATCGCAATACCATATGGGTGGCTTTATACAAAGCTGTTAGAAAGAGAAAAATACTTAGCTCTATTAGCATCAAAAGAAAATTATGATTCAATAATGGATTTACCATATCATCTAGGTCCTGAGTTTGAATGGTGGATCAAAAATATAAATAACTTTAATATAATTAAAAATTCCAAATATAAATTAGAAATCCATACGGATGCAAGTAAAACTGGTTGGGGTGCAGTTTGTGGTTCAGACAGAACCTCAGGATCTTGGTCAGCTGAGGAAAAAAATTATCATATAAATTTTTTAGAATTAAAGGCAATCTTTCTAGCAATTCAGTGTTTTGCTAAAGACATGTTTAACTGTCAAATATTATTGAGAGCAGATAATACCACTGCTTTAGCATACATAAATAAAATGGGAGGGATTCAATTTCCTCACCTTAATGATATGGCACGTAAAATATGGCAATGGTGTGAAAAGAGAAATATTTATTTGTTTTGTTCCTATATTAATACCAAAGATAATTATGAGGCAGATAAAGAATCGAGACGTATAAATATTGAATGGGAACTGTGTCCTAAAACCTATAAAATAATTATTGATAAGTTTGGTACCCCTGAAGTCGATTTATTTGCATCTAGGATAAATAATAAATGCACAAAATTTATTTCATGGAAAAGAGACCCGAAAGCCTTTGCAGTTGATGCTTTCACTGTGAGTTGGAGTGATATTTTCTTTTATGCCTTTCCCCCCTTTGCATTAATATTGAAATGTTTACACAAAATCAAAATGGATAAAGCAATGGGTATCTTAGTTTATCCATACTGGCCCTCTCAACCTTGGTTTCCCTTATTAAAATCATTATTAATATCTGAACCTATCATATTTGAACCTCACAAAAATCTTATTGTGTCCCCTTTCAGAATGGTTCATCCCCTTCACAAACAACTTTCCCTGGCGGCAGGGCTGTTATCAGCGAGGCATACTTAAGAAGAAATATCCCTAAATCTGCTTTAGATATAATGTTGAAATCTCTTGCGAACAACACAATTAAACAATATCATAGTTCCTTGAAGGTATGGTGGGAGTTTTGTAATTGTAATAATATTAATCCGTATGAGGGTTCTATCTCCCACGTATTAAATTTCCTAAGTGATTATTTTAAATCTGGAGCCTCATATGGTACTTTAAACTCAACAAGATCAGCCTTATCTTTAATATTAGGACCCACAGTAGGATCTGATGACAGAGTAAAACGATTTATGAAGGGGATTTTTCGCTTGAAACCACCCACACCCAAGTACAATGTAACCTGGGATCCGGGCGTTGTTTTAAACTATCTTAGCAACTTTTATCCAAATGAAAATTTACCATTAGAATATTTATCTAAAAAATTAGTCACATTACTCGCCTTAACAACAGCACACAGAGTTCAGACTCTCTCTCTTATTAAAGTAGCAAATATTCAATTTATGAATTCGGGGGTTCAAATTTATATTTCAGATCTTATTAAAACTTCTAGCAGAGGGAATTTACAACCTGTGCTTCATCTCAAGTCCTATGACATAAAACTTGAAATTTGTCCCGTTACAACTTTAAGATCTTATTTAGCTAAGACAGAACCCTTAAGAGATAAAAGTGAAAATTTATTTATTTCTTTTAAAAAACCTCATCTTAATGTTACATCACAGACAATAAGTCGTTGGATAAAATCAACATTGGAAGAAGCTGGCATAGATACAAATATTTTTTCTGCTCACAGTACTAGGCACGCTTCAACATCTGCCGCTAATCGATCGGGCATGAATATAGACCTTATACGTTCGACTGCAGGGTGGTCAAATAACTCAGTTATGTTTGCAAAACATTATAATAGACCTGTGATAGTTGAGGGACCAACAAATTATAGTGTTATGATCTGTGACACAGCTAATATTAATGTTTCTTAAATTTGTTTCTAATTCTGTATAATTTTTTTTAATTAGGTATAAGTTATTCAAGTTTTTATAATATCTAATAAGAAGTTGATTAATGATTATTATTTTAATTATATATCAAAATATAAGTCAAAAGACTTTAAAATATAACATTATTTTATGTAGTTAATATTCATGTTATTTCTTAAAAATGTGTGACTATAATAAAACTCATTTATTACATTTTTTCTTTTTATTATAAGTAGTATTCACAACCTATACTTTAAACATCTACACGTAAAAACCCGTCTTGGACAAGGAGAGGTATAATTATGTGATTAAACGAACTTACCTTAAGTGAAGTTCTATCACAATTATACCAGGCTCCTTGTCCAAGACGGGACTCCCACCCATCCCACAGAGATATGTACAGTATCTCTCATCCCTTATTTTCAGAGTTGTTCATACTACCTCCTACGCTTTAAACATAATGACATTACAGATGAAGTTGTCACAGAGCAAAATGTTATTTTTTTTTTTATATTTATAGCTTTGAACATATGTGGTCGTCGCTAACACAATCAGCGTTACTACACGTAAAAACCCGTCTTGGACAAGGAGCCTGGTATAATTGTGATAGAACTTCACTTAAGGTAAGTTCGTTTAATCACATAATAATATTATACAAACTATTTCACGACAAACATTACGACATCTGAGAAACTATAATATCCAACAGCTTCCACACCCAGTCAGTATCTGTAAAATCTTTATATTTTAAATCTTTGGCAAGCACTATTAATTTGAAATTGGAAAAATGTTCACGAACCTCTCGCTACAACTATTTGATATGTGACAGCGATTGCGGTCGCGAAGTTTTTTGAAAGATATTGAATGAACGATCTCATTCTTTTTGATCATTCGTTATGTAAACGATTGCATTTTAAACGTTACGT